AAGTTTCTCATTTGCATCTACAACCATAGCAAGCTTATCTGTAAAAATCTGTATCAAATATCAGCAGGTACTGAATACAAACAAAGAACAGATTTATTTCTTATTACCCTGTTCGGCAATTTCCAAATCACATAAAGGCTCTTGGAAAGCAGAATCTTCTAATTTTTTAACATCAACTTGAAGCTCAGAGTATTGTGTGGGGCAACTAGGCCACTGCAAATTGCTTGCAAGCCTTGCTCTCTCCTCCCTTGCTGTAGGGTCATCCCAAATTATCTGTTCATTTTGGGACGGCTCTGTGTTGACATCAGGTACCATTTGACGAGACTGCCTAAGGAACAAAAGTGACAATTTTAAATAAATAGCCACAATAAAATCCAAACCCCATGGAGTCCATAAATTAGATCACAAAAGGTGTGATTCACCTTTATATGTCAACCATCTAACACACAGTAGGCACTTAAAAAATATTTACTGAATACTGGCCGGGAGAGGTGGCTTTCACTTAATCCTCACACTTAAGGAGCCGAGGCAGGTGGATTGCTTGAGCTCACAAGTTTGAGACCAGCCTGAACAAGAGTGATACTCCCATCTCTAAAAATGGCCAGGTGTGACAGACACCTGTAGTCCCAGCTACTGGGGAGGCTCAGGCAAGAGAATCACTTAAACATAAGAGTTTGAGGCTGCTGTGAGCTATGACACCATAGCACTCTACCAAGGGTAACCAAGTGAGATTCTGTCTCAAAAAAAAAAATTTATTGAATAAATGAACATAGGGAAATACTTTCTTTTAAAAATGTTTCTCAACTTAAAAAATAGATTTTACACTAACAAAATTTTAATTAAACAATAATAAAAAATATTTCTATATGAATATAAAAGAGAAATACAGACAAATGCATACGAATATAGATTCTCAAAATACTCAAATTTATATGGAAAATAACCACATAAGTGAGTAAAATGTATAAAAATAATAAAAAGCAAAAATTGATGTGTATTAAATCTGGCAGATAAACTGCAGAAAATAAGCTAAAGCTATGATTTATGCCATATTCAAAAATGACTTAGGAGGGTTAGAGAATATTTTTAAAATATATAGGTAGATAACCAATATGCAGATAGATGATATTAAGGTAAATAGACATAAACATTATATAGCATAATCTGAAAAACTGGAATCTCATTGAATATTAGCACTACTTAATGCTTTCAGAATGAAAAACTATGGGAAAATGCCTTCAAAGATAAACTACTGTAACACTCAGATTTACAGTATGCTATAATATAATAAAACATTGGAACATATAAATACAGTAAAAAAAAATTTCTCCTAGAAACATAGCTGTTTTAGCTAGAATATTAAATACATATTTTGACTAACTATCTATATGTTTAATACTTCAAAGGGGAAAGTCTTAAAGTTGTCAAGAAATATTTTAGGCCCAGTGCCCATGGCTCAGTGGTTAGGGTGTCAGGCACATGCACCAGGGCTGGTGGGTTGGAACCCAGCCCAAGCCTGCTAAACAAACAAACAAATAACAACAATAAAGAATAGCCAGGCGTTGTGGCAGGCGCCTATAGTCCCAGCTACTAGGGAAGCTAAAGCCTAAGAGTTTGAGATTGCTATAAGCTGTGACTCCATTGCACTCTACCAAGGGCAACATAGTGAGACTTTGTCTCAAAAAAAGAAAGAGAAAATTTTTAAAACTTCTAACAGGCTGGGTATGGTGGCTTAACGCCTATAATCCCAGCACTTGGGAGGCCAAGGCAGGTGGATTGCCTGAGCTTTTACAGGTTCAAGACCAGCCTGAGTCAGAGCAAGACCTGTCTCTATACAACAGTCAGGTGTTGTAGCGGGTGCCTGTAGTCCCAGCTACTTGGGAAGCTGAGGCAAGACAATCGCTTAAGCCCAGGCGTCTGAGGTTGCTGTGAGCTAAGACACCACAACACTCTACCAAGGGTAACCAAGTGAGACTGCCTCAAAATAAATAAATAAATAAATAGATAGATAGATAAATAAATAAAAAAGTTCTAACATAACTGATGTATTTAAAAATGAGATTTTTCTCCAGTTGTATATCTAATAACTAAAAAAATAATAATAAATTTTTTTAAATGAGATTTTTCTTAAGTGTATGTTAGGAAAACAAGGTCATGTTTAGAAAACTGTGGTAGCTCTGCTTAACAGTAGTTGTCTTTTTTAACCACTTGAAATTATATGAAAAGCTTACTGTGGGGTGTGCCTTATAAGAAAAAAAATTTTGGTAATCATACTTCTCACAGCCTAAGGTAGACCAGCCATATACTAAATTATAGTAAAATACATTTTATGGCACAATTAATAATCCATTTGAAAATAAAAGAATTCTTACTATTTTCTTTAAATATGTGTCTATATATATTACATAAGTATTTCATTCTTAAATTAATTCACCACATCTGATAGTACCTCAAAAGGGTTACTTTGTCTTAAAAACAAGGAAGACAGCCTTTTATTTTCAGGGTATATTTATTTTCTGACTTGAAATACAATTTAGGTTGTCTATAATGATACAACATAATCTGAAGTATATTAAACAAAAAACCACTTTACTCAGTAATACATATTAATTATAAGGTAAATGCACAGTTCAATTAATCAATTGAAGATGTAAGTCTATGACTGGGCAGTTACAGCTACGCTTATAATCCTAGTCACTCTAGGAAGCTGAGGCAGGTGGATTGCCCGAGTTTAGGAGTTTGAGACCAGCCTGAGCAAGAGAAAGACGCTATCTATACTGAAAAACAGAAAAACTAGCCAGGTGTGGTGGTACACGCCTTAGTCCCAGCTACTCAGGAGGCTGAGGCAAGAGGATCTCTTGAGCCCAAAAGTTTGAGGTTGCTGTGAGCTATGATTCCATGGTACTCTACCTGGGGTGACAGTGAGACTCTATCTCAAAAAAAAAGTAAGTCAATAATGCTCATTACACAATTAGAGATTTTTCTTCTATCAAGAAAAAGATGAAATTATGTTACTAAACTTAAAAGTCACATCACACTAAAAACTATATATTCATTTTTCCTAGAAGATAAATTTTTAAAGATTAACAATGTGCTGGTGGCCCACGCCACTGTGAGAGGCTGAGGCCAGTGAATCACCTGAGCTTAGGAGTTCAAGACAGCCTGAGCAAAGTAAGACCCCATCTCTACTATAAACAGAAAAACTAGCCTGGCATGGTGGTGCACACCTGTAGTCCAAGAGACTTAGGAGGCTAAAGCAAGAGGATGGCTTGAGCCCAAGAATCTGAGGTTGCTGTGAGCTATGATACCACAGTACTCTACCTAGGGTAATAGAGTTAAACTCTGTCTCAAGGAAAAAACAAAATCCACACAAAGTTCTGAGAAGAAATAACCATCTTATATATGTGTACCTACTGTTTAATACCAAAGAACAGAGAGAACTGCCCACTGAAATTCATTTTTTTCCCCCTCACTGCATCCATTTCAAATGAGGCACTGGAAATATATATTTTATTATTTTTTTCTTTTTGAGACAGAGTCACATTTTCTCACTTGGGCTAGAACACCGTGGCATCAGCCTCGCTCACAGCAATCTCAAAGTCTTGGACTCAAGGGATCTTTCTTTTTCTTTTTTTTTTTTGAAACAGAGTTTCACCATGTCACCCTTGGTAGAGTGCTATGGCATCACAGCTCACAGCAACCTCAAACTCTTGGGTTTAAGCGATTCTCTTGCCTCAACCTCCGGAGTAGCTGGGACTACAGATGTCCACCACAATGCTTGGCTACCTTTTGTTGCAGCTGTCATTGTTGTTTAGCTGGCCCAGGCCAGTTTCAAACCTGCCAGCCTCAATGTATGTGGCTAGCGCCATAACCACTGTGCTACGGGCACCAAGCCTCAAGGGATCTTTCTGCCTCAGCCTCCCAAGTAGTGGGGACTCGGGAGAAACATACCACCATGCCCAGCTAATTTTTTCTAGTTTTAGTAGAGAAAGAGTCTTGCTTTTGCTCAAGTTGGACTTGAAGTCCTGAGCCTCCCACGAGTGTTAGGATTAAAGTGTGAGTCACTACACCTAGCCTCAATCTGGATCTTTTTCTTTCTTTTTTTTTTTTTTGAGATAAAGCTTCCCTCTGTCATCCCTGGTAGAGTGCAGTGGCATCATAGCTCACAACAACCTCAAATTCTTTGGCTCAAGTGCTCCTCTTGCCTCAGCCTCCCGAGTAGCTGGGACTACAGGCACCCGCTACAATGAATTGCTAGTTGACAGGGTCATTTTAGAGACAGGGTCTTGCTCTTACTCAGGCTGCTCTTGATCTCCTGAGCTCAAGCAATCCATCAGCTTTTGCCCTCCCAGAGTAGTATAACCCTTTCATTGGTCTTGCTATTATAAACCTTTTCTCTACTGCTTATTTACAAAAGAAAGCTAAATTAGGATTAACTCATGGACCCAAGTCGGCAGGTTGGACCCAAATACAGAGCTACCTTTCAATTCATCTAGTCTTTCTGCCATCAATGACAGCTACACACCTCAGTGCCTCCAGGACTCTGCTTCGCCCACTTCGAGCAGAACGAGTGCTGTCAGGAGTTGAAGAAACACTGTTACAACCACTCCTTGAAAGAGAAGTCCTTTGCCCTTGGGGCTTCACTAGTGATGTTGCAGACATGATCTCCTGCAACTGCTTTTGAAAGTTCTCTCTCATCTCCAATGTCTGTGTCAGAGCTTGAAACAAATACAAATAGGTCAATCAAGGTAAGATTCTCTTTTTTATCTTATCTTACATTAACTATTTTGTCTAGATCTGGCTGAACACACATGTATTGATTTGACATTTACTGAATACTCACTATAGGCTATATTAAATGTCCTTAGGCTATAAATACTATAGAACATAAAGGCAACCCTTACTATTATATAAGGACTGCATACGAAATAATTAGGGAGTACTTTGAAGACATTTTATCCATAGTGATTGTCCCTTTTATACAGCTTCCTGCCTGCTTCTGACTTTCTCTCATAGTCTTCTAAACTCTTAAGATGCATTACAGTCATCTGTGTATATATGTCTGATTTCCCCCAATAGTTCTTGAAAACATAGACCACAACATAGTTAGCCCTCTGTATCTATGCATGTAAGTTCTATGTCCATGGATTCAACTAATCATGATGGAAAATATTTGAACAGGAAAAAAAAAAAGACCAGGTGTGGTCATTTATGCTTATAATTCCAGCATTTGGGGGGCCAAGGCAGGAGGACAGCTTGAGGAAAGGAATTCCAGACCAGCCTGGGCAACATAGTGAGATCCTGTCTCTTCAAAAAAATAATAATAAAAAAAAGTAGCTGGGTATGGTGGTACATGCCTATAGTCCCACCTGCTTGGGAGGCAGAAGCATGAGGATTGACTGAGCTCAGGAGTTCAAGACTGCAGTGAGCTATGATTGCATTACTACACTCAGCCCAGGCAACAGAGCAAGACCCTATCTCTAAAACCAACAAAAAAACCCAAAAAATAAGGTATATTGGAGGTTGTGCACAAGTTAGATTCAAATCATTTGCCATTTTGTATAAGGGAATTGAGCATCTATGATTTTGATATCCAAAGTGGGTCCTGAATCAATCCCTTGCAGATACTAAGAGATGAATACATTTACCTTTGGTTTCTTTATAGACTAGACATTGAAGGAGGTATTAAACATTTCTGGAATGAACAGAGTGAGACTAACTAAATAGGTAAGTGATATAAAAAGCTTTGGTAGACTGAGTAAATATTGCCTGGGCACCTGTAGCTCAGTAGTTAGGGTGCTGGCCACATGCACTGGGACTGGCGTGTTTGAACCCAGCCTGGGCCTGCTAAACAATAATGACAACAACAACAACAACAACAAGAAAAAAATAGCCTGGTGTTGTGCTGTGCCCCTATAGGGAGGCTGAGGCAAGAGAATTGCTTAAGCCCAGGAGTTTGAGATTGCTGTGAGCTGTGATGCCATAGCACTCTACTGAGAACAACATAGTGAGACTCTGTCTCAGAAAAAAGAAAAGAAAACAGAAAATATTAAACTATTAAAAAGAAGATACCTCTATACATAAGGTTATTCAGTACAGTATTATTTTCAGCACTATCTAAGCAAGAAATTAGAAATAACCTAAATGCCCATGAACAATGGATAGAACAGAGCAGGGTCATCTATATAATGAACTATATAGTTGCCATAAAAAGAAAAAGACTGAAGAAGCTTCTTATCTACCGATATGAAACACTTCCCAAGTTGAACTGTTAAAAAAGAATAAAGTGAAAAAAGAACAAACATTTATGATTCTACATACATAAACAGCTCTAGAAGAAGCCTAAGATACTAACAACACTGGGAGTCTGGAGAGTAAGAGTGGAAGAAACTCTTCATACCTCCTTCTGAAACTTTATTATTTTAACATGTTCACTTGGCCTTATCATACATACAGTAAAACTTTTTTTTGAGACAGAGTCTCAAGCTATCCCCCTGGGTAGAGTGCCGTGGCATCACAGCTCAC